TTTAATGTAATATATACCATAAAATAATAAATCAAGCCTTCTGAACATAGAGCCAAAATTCTCGTCTCTTCCTTCAACATAAGACCCCTGTGACCACCGTCACAATGAAAGAACTTTCGTATAGGACATTACTGAGATTGGGATTTCATTTCCTGGCTATGTGAGACTGTTTGTGGACTGTTTGCCCCCCATATCCCACCCTGAGTTGCTGTGGCTTCCTCTCATGCCATGAAACTGAAATTTCAGTCAGATTTCACCCCTAACTGCATCTGGAGGAGTGATCCGGTCTCTACCTTCCTCTTGAAGATGTCAGGGGAGTCATGGTTCAGAAAGAGCAGTGTCAAGATCATGATGAGCAAAACCAGGGAGAGAGAGTTGTTTATAAATGGAGAGAGACCTTGCTTTCATCACTTTGTTATTTATTTCCCTAAAAGATCACTGGGACTAACAATGTGAATTTGTATTCTGTTAAAGGGTTTGTTTCAAAGAAAATGCTCTCTAGTCTAGCTTGCTCTTCACAGACTCACGATTTTCAACCTTCTTACTTATTCCCTTTCAAGGATGCTGCTATTTCACATCAATAACTGACACCTTTATTTCAGAGCACAAAATAGAATTACACTCCAGCCCTGACAATATAATAAATCAGGAGGGATAAAATACATATTAGTGAAGTTCACATAGTTGGTTTGTCCCAGCTGACCTATAGATATAAAGGTATGATTAAAGTTTTTTTTGGACTGCTTCTTCTCAGTTGTGACACAAGATTTAACTCTGACTCAAAGACTTGACCTTTGCTGCTCTTCTCTGCTTACCTTGATTCTTTGGAATTATTGTTATTCCCTTGAAGCCTTTCTGCCAGTATGGAATTAACACTCTGTTGTGACAAAATATTGTGTATTTGGCAGAAGAATGAAGCCATCTAGAATTCAATCAGGTTAGACAATGTCACGGTGCACATCCTGAGTGAATCATTTCCACCCAGCTTTTTTAATCAAAGAAATCTTGGCCATAGAACCTGGAAGAGTAATGCTGGATAGTCACATAGCTGTCTACAATTAAATTTTAGGCACATGAGGTTGGTTTTTTTTTATGAATTACGATTGAAAGGGTGCCTGCCAGAGCACTTAATCTTTTCTGATGGGTAACAGAATAAAATCTCAAAGCTGCAGGTTTATTTAGAGCATGAAAAAATTTATTAACCTTCTTGGAAGTGTTTTTACTGAAGAAGTTCCTTGTGGTTCACCATATTGGTAAAAACAAGCATAAATAAAGGAAGGTAGAAAAACGTGAACTGAATACTCCTGAGGAAAACAGTCTGTGGTATTTATGGTTTCTCTACTGGGGATGAGATTATAAGATGAGGGAAATGCATACAGTTTAGTGTGTCTATCCAGATTTGTTGTATGACCCAAACCAGATGTTTGGGAAGAATCAGTTATTAAAACTAAGTGTGTTTTTCGTGATGCAGTAAATAGGATTTTTGTTGCTTCTAATGGATTTTCTGTTATTTTCAGTTCTTTGAATATTTTTTTTTCATGTAGTTGTTATGTGTCTACTGGTTTCGTCATTACTAAATCCATGTGTTCTCCTTGAAACTAAATCCAGATAAGTTCCACACCATTTCCCTCTAACCTTTCCATTTATATTGTATACTAGAAGAACTTGAGCTAATGTAATAGTGCCAAATTGAGATGTATTTCACAGTGCACTTTTCCTCTGATGAGGAATGGGCTAATGTAATCAGCAATTATTTTTTTGTGTGACCTTTACAAATCAAATTGTTATTTTCTTGCTTTTCATTTGAATTTTGCTCCCAGTGGTGCAGGACTGCTGCAGCTAGTATGAAACACAATTTATTGACAGAATCACATTATAATAGTCTCAGAAACCATACTTATTGTATGTTTTAATGAAATAATTCAAAGAAATGTATAAGCTGGCCAAGATTAAATTTATGCTGTTAGTTCACAGAGGAGTTTCCAGGGTCACCATAGAGATGTTCTGGAGCAGCTGCAGAGTAGTGAGAGTGTACCTTTCCTAGGATAAATCCCATGTTAGTCATGGAATTGCAACAGAGAGTTGCAGTAGCACTGAGGATCCCATCTGGGAGCTGCAGGGGCTTCTCTTACCACATGGTCCTGATCTACACCCACTGGGTGAATAATCAACACAGTTTAATGCCTCCCCACTATAGGCAATTGTGAACACTTAGCCATAATTTCCTTTGGGGAACTAGAGAGAGTTTAGTTTGTTCATGAAAGGCATCCAGTGAGTAACCGTGTGTGAAGCTGATGAGTGAGTGATGATCTCTATCCATGAGACTTATTTCCATTATGTTAATGTATTCCTTATGCCCACAGACCTCTTCTGAACAACTTAGCCTTTCTTATAAATGACACAGAAGAGTTTCACCCACTCCCCCATTTTTTTTTTAAATATAGATAAGCAAAAAAAAAAAAAAGGGTAGGCAACACTAACTTAAACTCATGATTCATTAACTGTAAGTTAGGGAAGCCATTTAGAAATAGGATGTTCTCTCACTTATTCAGTGACTCAAGTGATAAAGCCTCAATAAAAACTGTCAAAATATCTTATTGAAAAAATAAGTGTGTTAAAAGTAACTGACTATCCGAAAATATAAATTGTTACCTCACTGGTTTAGGTATACATATATACACGCATAATATTTTGATGGAAGATACAAATCCAGAACAGAAACATGTAAGACCGTACATTTTTTTCCTTTTATTTTTTTCTTTTTGTTTTTCTTTTGTTGGTCACATGACCTTTTTATGGAGTTTTTTTCTGGTACTTCTCAAATTTCCATTCAGTCACAGGAAGTTTGCTGTAAGAAAAGGAGGCCAGGATGAAGAAAAGCAATTTTAAAGATCAAAACAGGAGAAAAAAAATTAAAACTTTCTGTACTCTCACATCATCGGAGTGGTTGTGTTGTGATGTGTTTAATTCTAAATTTTCACTTTCTTGGAGAAGTACAAAAGGAAAAGTTTCCGTAAAAAGCTTGATGTTCAGTTTCAGTCCTGTTTTATGGGAAATACATCTAAAACCTGAGAAGAGAGAGAAATGTACATATAAACATGATGTGTATATTTTATATATATATGCATATATGTCCATGTAGTTTTTAATATGACATGCACTTAGATGTTCACATATTTACTCAGAGAAATTGTGGAACCACCCTCTGTGGTTGTCTCAATATGCCCCATCATTGGAAGGGCTCAAGGTCAGGTCAAATGGGCTTTGAGAAACCTGATCTAATGAAAAGTGTCTTTACTCACAGCAGAGGGGAGGGAAGAGATGATCTTCAAACATCCCTTGCAATGATGTCAAACCAAACCATTTCATGATTAGATATTGAAAAGGGAAGGAAAATCTCCACAAAAGCAAATAGGTCAGCTTTTGGCGTGGTGAATGATGTCCATGCTAAACCAAGTGAGGGATGCATGAAACATGGAAAACAGCAGTTCTCAGCACTGTAGAATAAATATCTGCATAAAACCACCATGGTTTCATTTGCAGTTCTTGGGGGCTATTGTACTGACTCTTCCCTGCAAGCCCGTTATGGCTTGTAAATTTGTGACAAACTGGAACACTGCTCTCCTGAATTTGGGTAATATTTCTGTTCAGCAGTTAGCAGTAGGGTCCTTCTAGCTCAAGAAAATATCTTTATGAGCACTATGTGGGCTTACTGCAGTGTGTGCTTATGTTTCCACTGCAGATACAGGACTTGGGTTCTTAGTTGGTTTGGTGGGCTTTGAAGTCAAAGAAAATATGCACATTTCAGCCAGTAAGATTGACTTTGTATTTGGACATGATTTATGAACTGCTTTTTACCAATCTTTCCCTTCTTATCTCTCAGATTCTTTACTAATATGAACCAATAGAATGAAAGTAAAAGATTTGTTGGTCTAAAACTCTGCTGCCTCCAAAAGCCTATACATTGAAGGAAATATTTAGGTTTGCCATTCTCCTAAGTAGCTTTTTAAGTGGTATTCTGAGGGATCAGAACTATATCACTCAAACACAAAAAACTATAATTACAAATAAATATTTAAAGTGTTTCACTAATTATTCCTCATCTGCTTTTATTCTGACTGTACAAGCCTTATTTTATCTCACTGTTTTAGTTAAAGCAGTCAGAGATCTCTGCACTGACTGAGAATAGATACAGTTGGCAAATATGACAAGTTTGTCCCTTGCATTGCTGAGTTCTGGTTAGTTCTTAACTTCTGAAACCCCACCACAGATGGCCTCTTGCTAAATTTTAAAGCACTTGCACGTTTCAGAACCAGGCTACCTTTCAGCAAGTCACTTTTGTCAAAGCCTTGGTGTTCCTTCAAGACATTGTCAAGGAGTCTTAAGAAAATGTACAAACTGTGAATGCCCTGGTCTGTTCTGTACCATGTATTTGAATCTCTGAATTTTATTTAAATGAAGCGAAAAAATGTGTATTTTTTCTGCTTAGGAATAAGTTACAGCAGGACTATTATTAGACAGAAGAAGTAAGTGTGCCTTAGATGGTGATTAAGAGTTGTGTTCTTCTTCTTTAAATGACTAACCTGGAGTGAGAGGTTGGATGTCTTTTGAAAACTTAAACCTGTTTCACCTGAACATGTTTAACTAGTTAATAAGAAACATCAAAAAAGACAAAACCCTGAGGTCAACTATCATTTTTTTGTAAAGCCATTCGATGATGTTTAAATTTGTTTTTTGGGTCTGTCTATAACATAAGTTTAATAACCTAGCTCAAATGCAGATTTCTAATTTTCAATTAACATAGGAATAATTTTGTTTGCTAAAATAAAATAAATGAATGAATGAAAAGTCTGAACCATGAAATGTTCTAGGTAGCACTTTTTAAAATTCCAAATTTCAAAAAATCATGTGGCAACTGTATAGCTCAAGCTTTAAGTATTAACTTTTAACCTTTGACCTTACAGATTTTAACCAATGAAATGTCTCTTTAAACTTTAAAGGAAACAATGATAACGAGCGCCTGGCGATTGCTAGACAGCGAATTCCATATCGACTTGGTCGAGTAGTTGATGAATGGCTACTCGACAAAGGTAAAAAACATTGATTAAAACTTCAAATAAAAAAATAATTTGAACATAACCAAGTAGTGCTTCATTGTAACACTAATAAACATAAAAAATAAATTTCAGTAAAACTAAATTAAAACAAATTTTAAAAAGTAAAATATAGAGTAATATTTGCATACCTTGTATAATAATTTCTATACATTTCTAGAAGTACCAGCTGTTTAATAATCTTACCCTGTTAACTTAAGGTTAAAGGGACTGTTAAATATAATCCACTAACTCAATCTATGAAGGTACTCATAGCAAACATTAACCAAAAATTATAAATCATTCATAGATTATATTACATGTTCCAGCATCTAAATTATTAACTAAAACTATCTGTAGTTATGATATCTTCATTATGGTCCTGAAAAAAAATTTGTTTAAACTGTAGGTGTCTTAAATAGTGGGCAATATGAATTGCCAATCAAAATGAAGTCCCTTTAACGTTTGCAACCTTCTAAGGGGATTTTGGAACAAACACTAATTAAAACAGATCTTAAAGTTGTGTGCATGCTTTTTGTGAGCAGAAACCAAATAGTCACTAAAGTGGCTATTCTATTTACTAAGAGTGGTACTGTTGCTGAGGATTTCTCTGTTTTAATGGAAATGTGCCATGATTTCTCCATCGGTATGTGTATCATTTCTGAAGCCGCTTTTACATCTAAAATCTTTTATTTTAATTGATAGCCTTGCTGAAAGCCAATCAGACATCTATTTTTGAATCTGCTTCTGAGATACTTAGTGCAAACCATGTGTTTCTTTTCAGTGTGTATGTTGGCGGGAAATAAAACATTTAACTACAAAAATGAAATATTTAATTAAAAATGTAAATATTCACTTGCATAAAGATGCAAAAAATTACTGCATAAATTCTTTAAAACTCACTTGACCTAGTGACTTGATGGCAAATATATAAACTTTGTGTGTATATACATATTTGTATATGTCTATACATACATAAACTCATTTGTACATAAAGCTATAGGCTCTATGTGTGGAAAAAAAAAACAACAAACTTTTAAATGTTGGCAGACTTGAAGAAAAAGTTATCTTAAGGAATTAGAGAACCTGGCATTCTTGAGACACACCAAAAGGTTAACACTGCTTTCAGGTAAAAGGGAGAGGGGTATATCTCGTAGTTCCAAACACATTTGCAAATATATTTGATTGGCCTTTTAGCAAAAAACATATAAATCTCAAAACGTTGTAAATTAAGAAAAATGCAAACGCTCTCAAAATTTATGCATTTCATGGACACCTCATTAAAAAGCAATGAATTATGAGTCAAATCCTTTTCTTATAGTTTATTGCTCTCATTTTTCACCCCATGACAATCTCTTATCACTCGTGTAGAGTACAGCGTTCACAATCAACATTTTTGCATGTATATAATATTATCTTCACAGGGCGTCAGCTCACAATCTTCAATAGCCAAGCAACAATAAAAATTGGAGGCAAGGAACGTGGCCACCCTTTCCAAGGCCAGCTCTCTGGTCTTTACTACAATGGCTTGAAAGTTCTGAATATGGCAGCAGAAAATGATGCCAACATCATGATAGAAGGGAATGTGAGACTTGTTGGTGAAGTGCCTTCCTCTATGACAACCGAGTCCACAGCCACCGCCATGCAGTCGGAGATGTCCACGTCAGTCATGGAAACCACCACCACCCTGGCCACCAGCACCGCCAGAAGAGGAAAGGCTCCGACCAAAGAACCCATTGGTCAGGTTAGTCACCTTCCTCACCTTTTGCAAATGTCTTCCCACCTCTGAGCGTGGCTTCCTTTGTCCCATTCCCTCTGCTGATGAAATCGTTCCCCCTTTAAAGAAATGCATGAGTTCCTGTTGAAAGTTTTGTACCGTACACGTCTCACGGATGTGATGCTCACCAGCATTTTGAGGGAAAGTGAGGGCTTTGCTTTTCTTCTAAATTAGGCAAACCTACCAGTTCAGATTGTTCTGATGCTGAGTTACATTGCTCTGTCATCCATCTTCGTAGTGGTGCATATTTTTAAGTACCCTTTCTTCCTTTGATGGCTTACATCGATTACTTTCAGTGTAGGAACGCAGGATGTCTGGAATTAGAGATAATGAAATGAAGTGGTGACTTTATCCATGAGATGGAGAAAAGAGACTTAGTTTTAAGAGAGAACAGGAAGGAGGTGTGAAGACAAAAAGTTGCAAGAGGCTGGAAAAGAGGGAATTTGCACTTTCTCTAGTCCCACGATTGATCTTCTTCCCTGGCAGTATTCCTCACAAGAGGCAAGGACAGCAGAGGGAATTAAGAGCACTCTGCACCATGGGAGATTCAGGCTCCAAGTCATGGGCTGTTGTTTATTGTTTGTTGAGTCTATTTGCATCTCATGAATTTGGTGATATATTAAGTAGCTTTCAGGTTTTGTCAGGATCTCTGTATAATATGTGGGGGAATTTACTTATTGGGAAAGGAGGGAAGAAAAGAATGTGAATGAATTAACCTTCATCTTGAGTAACAGCAGTCAGACACTGTGGTTTAAAAACCTAAAACTTCTTTTACATTTATTCTTTCTTAAAAAAAAAAAAAAAAACAAAAAAAACAAAAAACCAAGAAAAAACAAACAAAAACCCTCAACCAAACCAAGAAAAAAAAAAAATACACTGCTAAAAGCTTTTCTTATGTCCTTTTGGTTTTCACATGCTTGTGTGCCCACTGTGGTACCAAGCCATGACAGACAGCTGCACTCCTGAGATCCAGAAGTAGGACAAGGAACACAGAAAGCACCATGAGGGAGAGACAGGGTGTGCTGAATTAGGTTCATTTGTTCAGGAATGAAGCACATGCAGGTTAGACAGAGGCTGAGGTCAGGTTGTCTGTTTTCTGTGCAAAACCTCAAGTCACAGAGTGAATTGGGGCATCAAATTTGGCACTTCAGCTTTTCTGTCTGTAGTATTTTTGTATGCTTTGTGCTATGGATCAAAAATTATGGTAAAGTAAATGTAAAAATTGTTATTAAACAAACTTGAAGTAGTACATTTAAGTTAAAAATGAGCCTTAAAACAAAAGCATTTTGACTTGCAGGTTGCAGGAGGTTTTAAATAATTATTGTAGCGAGTTACAGAGTTTTAATAAATAGCAATAGATTTTCTTTGTTCTTAATTCTGTTTTAAATAGTATCTTGTACTCTATTATCCAACTAGTCTGACCTCAGTATTTGCAGCAACACAATCTAAGACTTAACCAAATTTACCAAAGGGAAAATGAGTCTCTAAAATGTAGAACACACACATGGTGTGAAATAATTTGAGCTAAATTAATGTTACTAAATTAAAATTAAACAAAGTTTAGCTGTTCCAGTTCCCAGCATACTGTTGGCCTCTGCCACTCTTTAATGTTATTCCCAGGCACAGTTTTGGAGGAAAAATGTCACAGGGGCCATTCTCAGTTGTCACCTTGCATGATCTGTAGGCAGCAGGAATTTACTGGTATAATTGCTGTGCCAGTTGGCCTCAGTTTCTGGGAGTATTCCCCAGTAAAATTTGCACGCTATTTGCATGTTTAGCCACTAAGACTTTTATTTTTGAGATTTTCCAGAGGGATATTTTTGGAAGAAAATTTTCTTAAGCTAACAACTGTGGTGGGGTGTAAATTTTTCTGAAAAGGGGAAACAAAACAATTAGGGCAAAATGACTTTCCAAAGCTTTTGTGTTTCTAGGCCTGAAATGAGGTACGGCCCTTTTTGACTCTATCAGAACATCTATTCAGATTTTAGAGGAGCTCACTGCCACTGGGGCTGAGTGGCCTCAAGGCAGTTGTGCCATTTCCTCATCCCTTTCTGGCTGATGTGGCTGTGCCAAAATGGCATGAGCTCTTTGATCTCCCACCCTAAGGAGCTTCCAGAAGGCTCCAGGACCTCCCAGAGGTGCAGAGCATGGCTGCAAACCAAGTTTTGTGTGAAAGTTTTTGAGTGTGAAAGTTTTGATCAGCCTCTCTCACCTGTTAGCCTGGCTGGGGCAACGACTTCAAGCATCTGATGGGAAGCTCCTGATTTAGGAGCCTGAAAGCAACATTTGTGAGGAAAATATTCCATGGTAATATCACTGCAGCACTTGAGGCATCCTGAGGGTATAAAGGAGCCCTTCTTGACTTCATCTATGTCTGAATGTCCTGCCTGGTGGAATCTCTCTGTGTCATTTCATACACTTAATTAGTCAGGGACTGCACTGGAGCACAGTTTGCCATTAGGCCTTGATTTGATTTTGGGAGATTCATAGCCTCCTAAAGTCAGAGCTGAAATTTGTCTGCAGGATGCTATACTACTCATGCCACAAAGACCTAGGAAAATACTAAATCACCTTAGGGAAATAATTTCTTCTCCTCATTCATACCTGGTTATTATTGTACCTGGATATAAAAATTTCTGAGCTTGTGACCCATAAGGCCCCCATGGGTCTGTCCTGCAGGGTGCTGAGTAATCACTTTCCACCTTAATGTCACTGGACATGAAGGCACTCACCATGTCATGAAAAAAAATCCACCTTTCATTTCTTCATTCTCTTTCATTTTTGTCCTTTACTTTTTCTTTCTCCTGGTTTTTGCTTATATATAACCTCTGCAATGGTGTCAACTACACTGACATATGGTAATGCACAAGAAGAAAAGTTACCTCTCCAGCATTAATTAGGTTACTGAGGAAAATATGCAGCTCAACAGCAATTGCTAATGAAAAAAACCTTACATTACTGCAAACCAGTGCATGGCTGAAATAGAATAGAAGCAAATGATCTAATCAGTCAGAGATTGTTTGCTCCATTTGCAGAAGTATTGAATTAAATTAAAGATTGCAATACTTAAAGAAGATCATTTAAATCTCTATTTATAGGAAAGGTTCTTTTAAAAAACCTACAATGTTTAATTGATGGAGTCTGTGCTCCCTCACAGATATTAACAAAAGCAATATATGATGCAAGATCCACATGGGACTTCCAGAAAGTGTGTTGAATACTGTTGTGCATGATTTTAGATGAAGGAGGTCTTAGTGCTTCTGAGAAAGAAATGTTTTTTGCTGAAGACTCTAAATGAAGGTTTTCCCAGCTTGGAAATATTTTAACAATGGGTGTTTTGGTGATGACAGACATCTTAATTATTGCACTAGGAAATATAAATTTTTCTAGGGGGAGAAAGGTACTCAAAGCTTATTGAATGGCAGTAGTAGGTGAATGCCTGATTTTCCTTAGTGCCTTAAATCCTCTCCCCTACTCTCCCTTTGATTTTAATGGCATTCAAGCTGTCAGCCTCCATGCAGGGCACTGGGTAAACACAGAGGAAGAGTCCCTGCCTCCAGTATCGCATAGAATAAACAAGAGGTATCAGGTAAGGAGGAGGAAAAAAAAGAGGAAATCTGGAGGCAGGAGGAAGAGGGAGATGAAGCAAGCATTGTGTTGTTGCAGTGTTAACAAGTGTGCAGATTCACAGCCATCGTGGGAGGGACGCGTTACTGCCCTGTGGTTTTTTGATCCAGGCATTTCAGACAGCTGCAGGATCACCACAGAGCTGCAGCAGATTCTGCATCTCCTGCCATGCATTGGTGCAGAATTGGCACCAGCTGGGTGGGCAGCAAGATGTTTCCTGTGCTCCACGCTTTGCCATTTACCTGGGGGAAGCCCCAGCCATTGGCAGGGGAGCTGAGGATGGAAGGAGAGTCCTTTGCTCCCCCACACTGCATGGAGGGAGGCTCAACATTTTGCATACCTTTATGAGCATGGAAAGAAAACCCTCAGCTTAATTTTTGCGAGCACAGGACTTGTGTTACATGAAAATATGTGTTGCTAACTTTTAGGGAACCTTTAGTATGCACTCAGCCTCAGAAATCATTAATTTCTTCTAAGAATATCACCTTTTTATGAAGTTATTCAGCAAAATGATACAGTAAAGTTCTTCCTTCTTATTGCCTTTTATTTTTAACACTTTAAAAAAGTCTAATTTGCAAGTTTTTCTGTTCAGTCATGAAGGTGATAAACATCTTTTAAAACTGAAAATAAAGATTCTGGTTTGTAGAACTCCAGGAGATGAAATGTTAAGCTAAACACTGAGTACTGCAAGGCTTGCAATAAAAATTGCAAGAGTTGGCAGAAGCCTGAAAGGCTTCAAAAGGACTTAGAGAATGGGTTTTGCTTGAATTAGGAAAGCCCAATCAGGCCTTTAGTATCTCTTTGGCAAGGCTTTGTGAATCTGTATTAACTGGAAATCATAAATGAAGTGATAGTAAATCAAGAATAATATGCTCATTTCTCATCCCTTTCTAAGGATTTGATTATGACAGCCTATCCACAGACCAGCCTCTACTCTCATGCACTGGAAACCATTTCTGAAAATTGTGTGCAAAATAGCTTTTTAAAATTTTCCATAACATATTCTGGCAGTCCTCCTTGTTCTTATCAATAACACTAAGCCACTTAGCCAGCAATTGCTCTATACTGTGAGATGATTACATGTTTGGGAACAATAGGCACTGATTTTTGGTCAGGCAGAACTAAATCAATGAACTGAAATTTGGTCAGTTGCCTTGGAGGGCATACAGCAGGTGAAGGGTAGGTTTCTTTACATATATTGAAGCAGCAGATTTAAATAGCATTCTTTGTAGCAGGGACAATGACAGGCTCGGCTCAGGGACTTCACCTGCCAAATAAAAACAAGCTCTGCAGAAAACAGGGGAGTTATCCATGGAAAGAGATAAATTTTAAGCATGGTT